AAAGAAAACGATTATTATTATTATTATACTTCCATGAGCATTCCTCTGATTTCAGAAATTGATAATCTTTTTTGTTGAAAGTTTTCAAAATTTCAATCCAAAAATTCGAAAATCCACTCTCAACACACATTGATAGTAATTAACCTACTTTTTCAGGAAGGAAATGAAGTTCATCCGCCTCACATCTACCATCAAAGCCATATTAATGTCCTGCGCCATGGTTCTCGACAAAGGAGCAATCTTCTGGTGTATACTAGTTTATGTACTGACAGGAAACCCCCTTAACTCCGCTTATGTTTTCACCATGACCTCCTTCTATCGACTTTTGAACACAATCACAATGTTCTTCCCGCAAGCAGTTTCGCAAGTCTCAGAAATGTTCATATCCATCAAAAGAGTCAGAACGTTTTTGATGTACGATGAACTTGATTTTGGAACCGTCAATTTACCAAAAAGTATAACAAACGGAGTGAGCAAAAACGAGCATACTACCGGAAAGAAAGATGTGGGGATTCAGTTGTACAAAGCTTCTGCTAAGTGGTTGAAATTTCTGCCAGAAAATAACTTGGAAGACATATCTTTGGATGTGACCAGCGGTGATCTAGTTGCTGTGGTGGGGTCTGTTGGAAGTGGCAAAACTACACTGCTCAACATGGTACTTGGAGAATTAGTACCTCAAGCTGGCACTGTCAAAGTGAAAGGAACAGTATCGTATGCCTCTCAAGAGCCCTGGTTGTTTGGAGGCAGTGTGAGGCAAAACATCCTCTTCGGACAGGAATTTGATCAGAGAAAATACGACGAAGTTGTCAGAGTTTGTGCCTTAGAAAGAGACTTCAAACTCTTCCCCCACGGTGACAGAACTTTAGCTGGCGAAAGAGGTGTTACCTTGAGCGGAGGACAAAGAGCCAGGATCAACCTAGCCAGGGCGGTCTACAAAGAAGCAGACATCTATCTATTAGATGACCCATTATCAGCTGTGGATACCCACGTCGGAAAGCAACTGTTCGATGAATGCATCTGCGAGTACCTGAAAGAAAAATGCGTTATTCTGGTGACCCACCAACTTCAGTACTTGAAAAATGTGAATAACATATATTTACTGGAATATGGAAAAGTTGTGGTATCCGGATCATATGAAGAGATCAGAACTTCCGACACCAAGTTCTCCAGGATGTTGGCTAACTTGGAGGAAGAAGAGGAGGAGATAAGGAGAAAGTCCATGATATTGGCGGAGAAACAAGAAGAGCAACTCTTAGATGACGACGACCAAATACAAATTTTACAGAGGGAGGAGAAAGGGGTGGGAGGAATTTGTGGTGATTCAAAAAATGTGATGAGATTCATAGTATACCACTACTCGGTTGTGATTATTTTAACCCGGAGTCACGATTATCAAGAGACAAAATCCGTATTGGTTGGCCGTGGTCGAATGGAACCTAAAGTGTAAAACGTTTCATCTGCTATATTGGCAGACATCATAAGTGGTATATGCGTATATCGATTATGCTCCAAACTTTCTGGATGTAATTTTTTATTCTTTTGAAGACCAACATGATTGAAGTTATTTCTATACTCAAAGGATTTAAAATTCAAATCGATGGATTTCTCAGCTACAGAATTGCCATATATGAAGTAACTGTTCAAATATCATCAATAGTTTTCAAAAACATTCGCATGAACATTACTATTTTTCCAGGGTCAACACTCTTCAGTGGCTCTCTTACAGAAATACCACAACTAACGAAGTCAAATTGATAGAATCTCAAAATATCACTGGAGAAACTACAAATCCATTAGACTCCTACGAAGACTGGTGGCTCACTCCTATCTTTACGTCAGACAATACCATCATTTACTACTCAGTTTTGATTCTTTTGTTAGTTGTAACAGTATTCACGAGATGTCTATCATTTTATAGATGGTGTTTAACGGCTTCTACGAGATTGCACAACCAGATGTTCGATAACATCGTTTATAGCCCAATGAGATTTTTTACCATAAATCCATCTGGTAGAATCCTCAACAGATTCTCCAAAGATATTGGTGCGCTGGATGAAACATTGCCCATGACACTTTTGGATACCATGCAGGTACGTTCACCAATCATTGAATGATTTTATAATAATTTCGTGGGTTTTTCATAAAATAATGATCTGTGAATCATGTTGAAGGCGTTTTTATAATCTAGTTTAACAAAAATTTGAGAAGATTGATTGAAATGCCCATTTAAAAAGAGAGTGCAGCATGTGCAACTGCTTCGCATCCCCCTGGAGTTCCAAAACCAAATTGAACGGCACGAAATAAATTTCCTAAAAAACCAGAAATATCAATACAAGATAATTTCGCTACAAGGCGACGAAAAATGGTACCAATAGCAATGGGGCGAATGCCACCATATTTTCTTCAATGCTATCAAAGAGGCACCATACAAAATAGGACAAATATCGGGATTCAGTCGACCGCTCAGCAAAAAGTTACACAAGGAAGTCAAAAAAAGGAGCTTTTCACTTTTATAACCAGAACTTTTTGATGTCAAATCTTGTGAATAGGAAGGTCTGAGGGAGTCTATTCCTCCTGCTGAACCAGTGTGAAATGATCTGATTGCTTTCAAGACTTGTTTTTCATCAACTTGACGTCAGCGGGATGTTTAACTTGAAGTTCAGTTAACGTAATATCATCAAAATCTGCAAAATTCTCCGTTGAAGTCAGAATACGGATTGCCGAAGTGAGATCGCCATCCGAAACTCAATTTATTACAGATTTTGAGAAAATTGTTTTCTTTTTAGATCGATTCTCGAATTTGTGAATGGAAATTTCTGGATAGGTATTGGAAATGTTCTTCTTGGTGAATGAAGTGGTGGAAGACAAAAGCATTGTATGCAAAACAAAGCAAATATTTCCAGTGATCTAACGAATTGCTCTGAATGCAGCATCAATAGCTTTGCACAAAGCTTCTGCGGCACACATTCTTCTTCCTTTGCGAATTCTCTTCAATATGTTAGAATGGAGTTTATATAGAGAAAGTCTATCATTGATAGCTCTGGTAGAACTTGCACCAGATTTGGAATAATCATTCGGACTCATTGCACAGGTTTGGATGGAAGAGGAAAACGTAGTTGAATCAGATTTATGCATTTTTGAAAAGTGGATTTTCAAACCTTTTGTAGTTTTGAATTTCTTATTGCAATATCGACAAAACGTACATTTTATACTTGCATCGTGTTCAGTTGTAGAAGATAGTTCTTCTGTAGAGGGTTCTTTCGTTTGATGTGATTTCTTGATCTGTACATCATGACTGCTAGATAAAGTATACTTTTCATCTCTGAGAATTCTATCCTGAAAATTTTTCTCTACAGCAGGCCTTAGAGTTTCAGGTGTGCTATGCTGTTTGGTGATGGGGATTTGCATTTTCGACTATCAATAGAAAAATGGAGAAACAGGGACTCAGGAATCGGAGAAAAATTGGTTTTTAACGGACTGCAAAAAACTTGAATGTTACTTTGACATGTTGAAGGTATCATCCATTC